TGTTAGGTACCCATCTGCCCTTTGCTCAGTGTCTGAATTTGCTTCTGGGAAATCAGTCAGGCTCTGAAGTCAGAACTGTTCTTATCAGAAAGGGTTTATGTGTAATCTTGTCAGGGTTCAGGGCAAAGCAGGCCATGTATGTGAAGGAGGGCTATGATCACATTTTTGCCTGAACTCTATTCTTCCATTACTGAAACTGGCAAGTAGAATATTTTTGAAATGAATATTACATGTAATTAAATTATATAGATTAATGATATGTACATTTATCACACAGGTATATAAATATTACAAATATTCTATATTTCTTGAATTTGATAGAAATGAAATCACAAGACATATAAAAACATTTTTGTACATTTTTAAAATTTAGTGTAATGTCTGAGATTTGTGTGTGTGTGTGTGTGTGTGTGTGTGTCACGTATTTCTGGGCATCAATCTGCTTTATGGATAAACCACAAGTTATCCATTCTTCCATTGATGGATATTAAGTTGTTCTCAGTTTTTGGGCTATTGTGGAAAAGTAACTATGAACATTTTTTTGTATCTATCTTTTGTGAATCCATTATATTTTGAGGTGATAGTTTTGCTGGTGCCAAGAAAATCTATAGATTTTTTTATGCTTACTTAGTAGTTGGCCATCTTCCTGAATCTGAATAGCTTTTCAGTTCATTTTTTCTGGGAATGCATTTATTTCAGATAGAATATTCTTTTTTTTTTTTTTTTTTTGCCTCGGCAACAGAAAATCCAACTCAATTGAATTAAGATTCAAAGAATATATATTTATACTGATAATTTCCCAGCTTCAGGCAAGGCCTGATCCAGAGGGCAGGTTGTCATCAGGGTCCATCTCCCTTTCTTGGGGTCCTCTGGGATCTACTGTCATTTGTGTGAGAACTTTGTCCTATCCTGCTTCCTCTTATTGTTCCAACAACTATCAAAGCCCTTCAAGAACTCAAGTCCTCACTACACCACTCAGAGAAAGAGCACTGTTTTGGGGGACACCAAAAGAACAAGTAAGCTTCTTTCCCCACGCGCCTATTCAATCTTGCCACCAGTCTAATCGATCCAATTGGGAAACCTGCCCATCTCTGAGATGATCAAATTTTGTTATCAGTGGGCAGGATGCCCTGATTACCTTCATGATGAGGGGCCATCTCAGTCATTGCTGCCACAATGTACTGCCACACTACGAGGCAAGGGTGAGTTCCCAAAGGGGGTACCATGGAGCCTTTTGATCGAAGACAGAAATGGATGCTAGAGAAGCAACCATAAAATGTTGACTATGACAATGAGAATGATATTGTCTATGATGATTATTCATTGTCTCATTCAAGTAGTAATTATTTTTCTGTCTCTTATTTCAACTTGTCATCTGTGGCATAGGGCCTTTTAAATTTTCATGGGCACATTTGGCATTACTTAAGAAGTGTTGGGGAAGATGTTTATAAAAGTAGAGGGACAGGGCCCTCCCTGGTAGCACAACGGGTTGGAGTGCAGCACATGAAGCCATCTGCAGCCACTACAGCATGAGTTTCATCCCTGGCTAGGGAGGCTACCCACATGGAGTAGCCAACCTCTCCTGACCTGCCTGCTGCTCCTCCCAGTAGTATATTTGAGTCAGTCTTTCTGTTCTGCTTCCCACTCTGTCTCTAGTGAATCCTCTCACCCCTGCATCTCTGGCCTATACCCCACTTCTGGGATGCATAAATAAATAAATCTTTAAAAAAAAAATGGAGGGGCAAAGAGAAGGACATAGGTGCGAATGCTTTTTAACAATTGGATGTGATGATTAGACTAGTCTTGCCTAGTCTAGGATCTAGAAATGAAGGGATAAAATCAAGAGAGGGAAATGGCAATGTGATAAACATATTTGTTTTCTATTGTTGTGCAACAAATTGCTTGAAGTTTAGTGACTTCAAACAATGCAAAATTATCATCTAACAGCTTTTTGTCAGAAGTTTAAGCTCAGGTGACTGAATTCTCTGCGGGGGACCTCACAAATCTGAAATCAAGATGTCAGTGGCTGCATCCCCCATTGATGCCTGGAGTCCTCTTCTGGCCTCATCTAGGTGGTTGGCAGAACTTTATTACTTGTGGTTGTAGGACTGAGGTCCCCAGTTTAGTGAGGTCCTTCAAAGGTGTCCTTAGGTTCTAGCTGCACAACCCTCTGACATGAAAGTTAACTTTTCCAAGGACAGAAGAAGAATTTCTCTACAGTCTGCTCTGATAGAATTTTATATGACGTAAGGAAATGATGGGATATCTTGGGAGTAATCATGGGAATGACCATGTCATTGTGCTCATAAATCTTGCCCACATTCCTAAGGAAGGAGGCTGCATAGCGCATGAATATCTGTGGGTAAGGTGCAGCTTACATCGACAAAGGCAATGATTTCTCCAAAGTTTATGACATATGTGGTAAAATGACCAGTAAATCCTCTGTACTTCTAAATAGATACGGAGCTATTTTATAACCATACACGATACAAGGGCACATCACATAAACATGCATGCATGTGCATACTTACATAGATATAGCTATGGATATATAGAAGTTCTCACTTGAAGGCACAGGCAGATTCTTGGAAATTGAGATTTTAAGCTCAACAAAGTCAGGTTTTACTATAGTATAATTGACATGAAAATTAATGACCTAAAATACAGTCATCACAAAAACATCACCAAATTTCCAATTAAAGACCCCAAACACTGCTGATATTTGACAATCATTTGTATTCCTTATTTAATTTTTTAACCCACTTATTCCAGCTCAGGGTCAGGAGAAGGAGGAGCCTGTCTGACAGCTGAGGGTACCCCACCCTGAATAAAAAGCTTTTCCATTTCAGGGCAAATCACCCATCACCCACATTCACTCTGACTAGCCAAACGAGGTACCCATGAGCACCAGCAGCCCCATGTACATTTCTTTGGGGCCTGGGGGACACCACAGTTCTAGTGAAAATCCAAATGACCTTGGACATTCCTATACATTTTTTTCTCATCAAGATTATAAGAAATGATATTGAACAAAAAGACATCATTCCAGAATCTGCTGTGCATATATACAACATGAGGGTGGAAGTTGAAATTATCATCCCCTGTTTGTGAATATTCTTAAGAATGTGGATTCAGGGAAATGCCCCTTTGGGGGATGGGAATGGGAAATAGAAAAAAATTAAAACAGCAGACCATTTCTTACCTTATCCTTCCCAACCCCCTCCTCATTTTACCATTTAGAATAGTCAGTTCTCTTTTTGTTGTTTGTAGGGGCATCAAAGGGGTTGGGGCCCAACAGAACTTATATTTGTAAATGTTTTCCAGATGTCAGGGATAGAGAGATGTTCTAGCTGAGCTTCTAGCCCAGAGCCTCCCAACCAACATATTTAAGTGCCACATGGTAGATGTTCAATTATAAAAAGCTCTCCCCACACCCTTTCCTTTTTTAGTCAATGACATGCATCACAGACTTTAAAGAACATTCTTTAGAAGGATTATTGCTCAAGTCAATATGCTTGACTGTTGGCTCCAGTAGAACTTGGTAGGAGTTTTTAGTGAAAATTCTGTTCATTTAAGTTCTAATGAGAACTAAGCTTGACCTTGGATAAAAGAATGCTTCCATTTAGCTGTGCCACCTTGGATAAGTGGTTTAATATCTCTGAGCTTTTTCTACATATCACTATTATCTTCCTATCCATGAAACAAAAGAAAATAAAAACATAAATGGACAGGAAAATATTAGTGGTATGTAGATAAAGAAGCTGAAGTATATGAACTAGCTGTGGTACATAAAAAGTGTTCCAGAACTACTATCCATTATCACTTCATTCAAGCCTCACACTAGTCTTGTTAAACAGATATTGTGATTTTGGTCATTGACTGTATTTTATAGGTGGAGTCCCAAGTCTTCTCTCTTCTCTATGCTGCTATGATATTAGGCAATACTTATTGATTATCTATCAATATAATCAATATTTCTATCAATAAAATCAATATTTCGCATTTCTTTTTTTTTTCCACTTTGCCGACAGTGGGGTGGTGCTCCATCTATGTCTTAGCAGGCTAACAGCATATCTTGATATTAGCCACCTAGTATCAGATTTCAGGAGACTAAGATGATGCAGTCCCTATAATAGCTCTTTACATTTTTCTTTGTGGAAGTCCCCATGTCAATTGGAATTAAGTGTAAGTGCAAAATATGTGTTAATTCACAGGATGTTCATCATAATTTGTGTCTCTAACCCAAATTGTTGAACCTAAATGCTCAACAATAGAGACTCGTTAGATTAATGGTATATGAAAACTATGCTAAAAATGAAATAAAATATTTTTCTACATAGAGAAGTCAAAAAGTCAAAGTAAAATCTTAGATTTTTATGTTGACATAAAAAATTCTTGTTGTTTGATAAAAGCAGATTATAATTCATGAAGTGTGGATCTACTTCATTAAGAGAACATAAATGCTTGTGCAAACAGAAAAATATATGCTAATGCGTATAAAAGTCAGGAAAGGTGTGACTCAAGTTGTCACCTATGGTGATCTCCGTTGGAATGGGGAAGTGTTTTGTTTTTTTTTAAGATTTAATTATTTATTCATACAGAACTGAGGTACAGGCCAGAGATGTGGAGGGTGAGAGGATTGACCAGGGACAGAGTGGGGAGCAGAACAGGCAGATGGATGAAGTACACTGCTGAGGGGAGCAGCGGGCGAGTCAGGAGAGGTCTGCCACGCCTCGTGGAGCTGCTTCGGGGCAGGCGGGGATCGAACTCATGCGGAAATGGCTTTAGCTTCTCAGTGCTGTGCTTTAACCCGCTGCACAGAATGGGGAAGTGTTTTATGGGTAATTTGAATTTTCTATTTTCTTGTGAGTGTGTAAGGGGTGGGTCCCTTGTATTCTAATCTTTATGTACTGTATAATAAATTCCAGTTGCTAAAATAAAAAGAAAAGTAAAAGAAAGGTGGTTGAAGTATCAGTGCTAATCCTGGTTGAACATTTCAGGTGATTGTGAAGACAAGAACGGAGTATCAGCCTGAACAGAAGAACAAAGGGAAATTCCGGGTGCCGAAGATCGCCGAATTTACGGTCAGTGTCTTGATGGGATTATAGATAAAAGTAGAGATCAGGCTGGTTTCTGCCAGCTCAAGGCAACCATGCCAAAGGAGAAGGTATTATTGGGGAGTGGAAAATGACATTGGCTATTTTTAGAGCATTTCTTGAGGCCACATTGTCTGGGTCACTGTATCTAATCAAATAACAGAAACTCCATTTCCAGAGAACCACTGATGGGCTCTTCTGGTCCAGAATGTTTGGATAAATTACATCATTGACAAACGTGTCTCATTTCTTCTTTTTCTTACTGTACCCATCTCTCTGCCTTTCCATCAGAACCTCCAAGAACATCAAATTTTAGCCTGGGGATGGTTTCAAAAATACCAGAAAAGAAAGAGGGAGAGAAAAGTTGACTTCTTAGTGGTAAAAATCAAATGGCTGGTTTGGTAAAAAACCAATAGCTTTTATTTCTTGGTGGAGGAGCTTCTAGGAGGACAGACAAATATATCTCACTGTGATGAGCTGCAGGCTGGGAGCTTAGCCTGCCAGGATGAAATGGAGAACCTCAAAGGAGTTGTTTTGGAAACTATATTCCAATATTTACTCTCAAGGTGAATATAATTTATGCAAAGGCACTGAGACTGGAGGTTGGCCCCAACACTGAATAGGAATGAAGGAAGTTAGGTTGGGCTTTGGGTGGGGTAATGTGAGGATCAGACAGAGGTGAGGCAGAAGTAGACAGAAGGTAGACAATCCCAGGGCATGTAGGCACAATGGAGGAATTTGACTTTTATGTAGATGAATGAAAGACGTCTATGAAGGACTTCAAAGTAGGGATGGGAAGAAATGTTTTAATTTGGGTTTTGTAAAAGCATGCTTTTTGGAGTGTAGATGGCTAAGTAGAAAAGTGAAGAGATTCTTAGGCTATTGCAGTTGTCCAAGTAAGAAAGATCTTGATTCAGACAAGATTGGTGAGTAGGGAGGGAGATGTGGGCAGACCTAAAAGATACCTAGGTGACAGAATCAGCCATAGAAGCAGAAAAGAAATGTCTGTGGATGGATATTGGAGCAGGCTGGCTGGGTTTGAACTCTATTTCAACTTTCTAGCAACATTGTGTCCATGAGCAAGTCAACAAACTTCATATCAGTGGAGGTAATAGTGAAGAATAGAATCTATACAAAGTACTTGGACTTACATATGTTAAGCACACAGTCAAATGATAGCTATTTTGTGTCAACTGCAATTGGGCTTTAAAAGTGATAGTAGCCCTTGGTTGGTTTTCTGGGAACTGGAGTGTGGATGTGGATGAACGTAATTGGCCTTTTTCTGTCCCCATGTTTCTCCCTGTTAAATCTATGTCAGAAAAACTGGGTATGTGAGCCTGGCAGTGAATGTGGTACTTCTGTTTGCATGGTCCAGAATGTGGGTCTTCCCCAGAGACCAACCTCCCTCTTTGGGGGCAGGAACACTATTAATTTTTGCTTTAACTTCAGAGGCTGGCGCACAGCATGGGCCAGAAAACATGAACCTCGCCTGTGCTGTGCAAAGGGAGAGTGAGTATATCTGGGTGCATGATGTGTGGGCACCAGGTCAGGGAATAAAGATGACCTATCTTCCTGGCACCAGGAATGATTGGAATTATGCCCAGATTCATGTACAAGAATGCTGATTGCCAGCTATTTATAAAATCAATGTACTGGAAACAATGTTAGATTTTCAGCAACTTTCTCATGAGTCTGTAAATAAGACCACATACAGAGGATGGCCTATTTTAACATTTTCTTAAGAATCAAAATTTTTCAGAAAGTATTTTCACTAACTCTGAATAATGGGCCTATGGATTATTTGCATCTTCTTTTGATTTCCAAATTTTACACAAACATGTATTGTTTTAATCATCAGAAGAACACTGGAATTATTTTTTAACCAAATAGAGTGTTACCAGGTTTACATGGAACAACTTATTTAGCAATCCTTTGAAATGATGATGATGAAGGCATCCACTAATTTGGACAAATGTTTCAGAGTAAATGTTGAGTAAAAAAACAAAGGTTAAAATTATATGTTTTCTAGAATTGGAGCTATGAAAAAACACAAGTTTATGGAGCAAAACTGACATGGAAAGAAATTTATCAAGATGTCACCTTTGGCTTTCTCATCCGTGATGGTGTTGGGTCACTTTTTTTTTTTTTCTGTTTTGGTAGCTTTTGGTGGCTATTTTTTTCATCGTTAATGCTCAAGAGTCCCATGAGACTGATAGAGGTGCTCCCTGCCCCTTTTTCAAAGAGGAGCTGCTGCTCAGAGCAGGGATGTGACTCCCCACCCAGCCAGCTAATGCAGAGTTGGACCTTTCTGCTCAGCTGCCTGTGGTAGGTGGAAGTGAGTCAGCTAAGCAAAGAATGAGAGTCTGGGTCAGGGTCCAGACAAGTGGAAACCCTTTCTTGTGCTACACAAAAAAGATATATAGTTTAGTTTGATATATAGCTCCATTTGTTTATTTTTATTGTTTTTCTTGCTATTATAGTTGAATTTTAGAAGACATCTTAAAGGCTCATGTTCATGAGTTTATCTTGCTCTGCTTTCTTCTATGTATTTTCTGGTTTCAGGTCTTACATTCAAATCTTTAACCATTGGAATTAGTTTTTGCAACTGGTGTTAGCAGTCTAGTTTCATTCTTTTGCATGTAGTTATCCAGTTTTCCCCACACTGATTGTTGAAGAGACTTTCTTTCTTTGTTGCAAATCCTTAGTGCCATTGCCATAAATAAACTGTCCCTATATATTTGGGTTTATTTCTGAATTCTCACTCTATTCCATTGACCTGTGATTTTAGTCCAATACTATCTGTTTTGATTATTATAACTTTGTAGTATAGTTTGAAGGTGGGAAAAGAGTGTCTTACTTCCATTCTCTTCCTTTTTTTTTTTTTCAAGATTGCTTTGGGTATTTTGTATCTTCTGTTGTTTTAGAGAGATGGTACAAATTTGTTTGTGTATGTGAAATTGCAAGCATTTATTAGCCTGACTTTTTACTTTATTACATAGTCTTCCCTCTGGAGTGTATGTAGGATGCAGCTGCTGGAGTGAGGGTGACTGCAGGGGCTAGGGAGGTGTCTTTGGGCAATTAAGAAGATACTGAGAGCCTGAACTGTCAGTTGGACTGTTATGGGGGTGTAATTTACAGAACTTGCTCCTGGCTGGAAACATGAGAATTCCTTGGTATTTGACTTGGCTGACTGAACACAGGGGATGCCAGCCATTAAAGTAGCAGATTGGGGACCTGGACTAGACTATGGGAGACACAGTGAGTGGCAGTGCCTGAGTTCATGCTGGGGGAGGAGGCAGTCTGATCACTCTTGGATATAACTGGTCTGGTGTTGAGGGTCTCCTGGAAGTCAGGAATTCAGTTAGTTTTAGAGGTGAGGAACTAGTATACAGTCCTTTCTGTGTATTGCCTGGGCAGCGATAGCTGGATAGGGAAAGAAGGCATCTCTCCCTCACTTCCTAGAGCTGGAACAACTTGTGACTATAAAGCTTACAGTTGATCTGGAGAAAGCAGCTCATAGAAATTACAGTGAGAAAGCATGAGAGGAGAGAGAGAGCAGGGGAAATGATGTGGGAAAGATTGGTTGAAAGAATTGCTTAAAATTGCTCCTTCTAAAACCATGATGGCTGTTGCTGTTATTGCAAAGAACCATAGACTTTATAGGTTCCTCACCAAGCTTCTTTGAGAAGACAGGAACATGAGGAGAGAAAGCCCCTCCTTCTTTCTTGGTCCTGGGGGCCAAGATTCTCTTAGTTTATTTGCTGTGGAAGATATGGGTGCCACTATGGTAAGTGCTGTGGAGGGTGCAGGTGTTGTGAAGGTGCTGTGTCTCTGGAAGGTGTTGGTACATATGGCTGGTCTCTGATCTGGTTGTTCCCAGGCTGACCTGGCCTGCAAGAAGTACTGAGTGTGCCATTTGGAGCTAGTGTATTGTTAAGTTGATGAGAGGCATTTGGAGAACACCTACATTTTGGAGCCAGGCTCACCTGGGCCACTCAGACCCTTCCCCTGTGACCTCAAAGCTTCATGACCTTGGGAAAGTCCTCTCACCTCTCTGTACTCCTGTTTTCTCCTCAGTGAACTGGGACACAATCTCGAGGACACAAACCTAGGCAGCCTTTAGGTTTTACTGAGCGTTGCTTTGTTTGCTGCTGCTCAGATCCCTTTTCTTCCTCATGGATTCTTAGCTTCCTGCCTAACCAGCTAGATTTTGTCCTCTGGTTGAGACACATCTGGGCCTCCCTTTCCTGGTATGGATATTTCCCTAAGGAAAAGCTTGGGGGATGTGGCAGCAAAGCCTGTCAGAAAGGTGGCTGGTTCCCTATTAGGACATGTGGGTGGCCTCCAGCTCAATATGGCCCTCTCTGTCCCTGCTGGGCATTGGAGGCAATGCTTTGTAAGTTAATTCTCGACCCATCAATTTAACATGAATAATCTGTTAAAATGCCTTTACATCCACTTTCCATGGCAACCTGCTCAGTGAGGGAGTCTGACCATTGTCCCCATTTGACAGATGAAGACACTGATGCTCTGGTAAGGGATGTGACTCCCAAGGTCACTGTCTCTGCCACATCCCAGCTTTGCCATGCATTACATGCTGATTCAGGATTCAGAGGATTCCTTGCTGGTGGCTATGGCCTGGGAAAGCTCAGATGGGAAGTGTCTAAGCTTATAGAGATAGAGCTGGGGGATAATTGCAGACCAGGCCCAGAGCTGGTGTCTCTTGTTAAACACAAATGACAAGAAACAAACAAAAATCAAAGGACCAGTTAAATTTCAGGCTGCTGACTTTTCACCATTTCATCTGTTTGTGATATTTCTGGTGCTCTGGGCTCTCTGTTCCCGACCCATGACCAATACCAGAAAACCAGTTAGCAGGACTCTCACTCCTTACAGGTGAGGAAAACAGAGGCTGGTGATGGTCTCACAGCCCGAGTCATGCGCCCCAAGCTCTGTATGCGGTTCCTGGTCAGGTGTAAGGAGCTAGG